GATATTTTCTAGAGAATTATTCGAGTGGCAGCCATAATGTGTGTTCATTGCATTTTTTATATCTTTGTAAACTCAATTTTGTCAAAAAGACTCTCATAAAAAAGTGCTCGTTGTATCATACTTCACTTTTTATAAAATTATTGTTATTCTTTGTTTAAATATCTAATTTCATTAAACTTAAAATATCTTATAAAAAAAAATTGTGGATATTCTATATACATATATTTTAGATTTCAATATTACGATTACAATTTGTACAACCTACCTATGAAATAACCTAACTTTATAAATTACTTATGAAAAATCTTGTTTTAAATAATCTACAGAAATCATTTTATGAGATTTTGACGATTTTTTTTTTAAATTAAACTTAAAATGCTTGTACTTAGCTCAAACTGAGCCAAAATATTTTGAAAATTTAATGTCAAAATTAATATTTGTTTAAAATGTCAAGTATCTTCATTCTTTGTTTTTGAATAATAGCAAAACAAAAAAAATTGGTCCACGTTAAATGAGGATAATATCTTATGTCAAAAAAAATTAACTTCAAACGCTCATCAAAATTTAATTTAATTCCTCTAAACTTTTATTGAATGTTACAAGTAGCTAAAATTAAGCCTAAATATTTAGAAGATTTCATTGGTATGAATATTAATAATTAAATAACTCCCTATGTGCAAAAATGAATCTCCTAAACTTCACATAGACTTATCATCAGGCACTGAGACATATAAGTTTAAAGCCAATAGATGTCTCAGAGACTCTAATAGGACTCTAAAAGTCCAGACATTGTAAATTACTGCATGCAATATCGTAAAACATCTATATAATCATCAATCGTAATATTGTAAATAATATATTCTATCAAGTTGAGATGCATCAGGCCTACCCAGTTATCTCGCATTGACATCACAAAAAGTGCACAAAGTTAATATATCCAAGAAAAAAAATTCTCTTTTAATTAATTATTATGTTTGAACGTTAGATTCGATCTTCCTAACGGTAGTTCCTAATAGGACATTAGGGATTATCGGTAAGCCTAAGCTACCGGGAAACACTATTAAGATATAAATGAAGTAGATATTTAGAAGTCACTATTACTTAAAGAAATGAAGTGTATAACAAGAAATTTAATTTAATACCGTTAAAAATTTTTAGAGTGTTAAAAGTGGATTAAATTTAGCCTATAGAAAATGTCATCGAGTATAAAATTTATAATCAAGTAACTTAAAACCCCAAAGTATAAACTAGATTCATTCTAACATATCACTAAATATACTGCGGATAAATATTAAAGGATTTGTACTTCTATTAAACGTTTAAAAGCGATGATAGACAAAAAAAAAGAAAACATAGAACATACAGTAAATATTTATGATATTATTGACAACTTTGAAAACAAGTCTCATATAACGAAATAATTGGACATTCTAACAACAATATTGATGATCAGGCTATAAATAATAATTTATTCAAGTCTGAAGTTTCATATTATATAAATTGCATTTTGAACGTACATATATCTGTCAAGCAGATTCTGCCTCACCCCCCCTACGGTTCACATGCCATCACTGATGTACATTAAAAAAATATTAAAACGTTTTGTCTAAATCATAAATGATTATATAATAATAAAATAATTATGAGTTATGCATTATTTAATCACCTGTAATTTTAAACAGTAATGTTCAATTTTTTTCTTCAATAAATGTACATGGCAGATGATCTTTTATTTGTTTTAATATTTATAACAATATTTTTTAGACTATTAATAAATCACAAATAATAAATAATGAATAAAAGTAAAATACTTAATTTAAAATTATTATTACGACAAAATATTATTTCGCGAAAATAATACGTTATCACTTTAAGTAGAAACAATATCTCAGACATTTCATATAAAATTAAAATGAAAGACGTACCTACTAGTGATTATTTTTAGTGTATTTCTTTATCCTCAATTTACAGCACAAGGTAATTCAATGATTTGTATTAAAAATAAATTATATATAATTTTATTAGTGTAGTTACTAGACGCGTTTATAAATAATATGATATAAAACTTTACTATGTTCGCAATAACATTTAAAAAATATTTAGAATGATATAAAAAGCTTATTCTTTAAAAGAATGATATATAATAGGTTCTATAAAAAAAATACAATTAATAATTAAATATGCTCAATAACATAGACTGACATAATGTCTCTGCTGTAAATTTTTTTTTTAAATGTAATTATACAGGGTGTTTCTGAAGTGTGTGAGGTAATTAGCATACGCATACTCACTGTGATGCCACAATGAAGATTTTTTTGGAATTTTTTTTCTAACTTCAAAATCTGGGTTTTTAAAATTTATTTTGAGAATATTATCTTGAATGTAAAAATAAACACTCTAGTCGTATTTTTTGCAAAATTCTCATACGAATCGAGATATCACATCATTTTTGCGCTTGTCGCGGGTTTACGCGCTCGAATCGCCAACTAAAAAAAAAGTAGTGCGACACATCGATTTGTATGAGAATACTGCAAGATAATCAGTGGTGATAATTATTTGTTGTCATTGATAATACACGATTAATTAACACATTGTTTTACATTATCGACTAATAAAAAATATGAAATAATAACAAAATTAGGGATAACAGAGTTTTAAACAATCAAATTTTACTAGCATACATTTGTGCATACCTTTATTAAATAACTTTTAACTTTATAAAGTTATAATAGTTAGAGATAAAAAAACTACCTATTTGTGTGTTTATACTGAAATTCCAGTTTTTGGATATCATAGTACCTAACATAATTACTTTGACTCGATAAGATAAACATTTCTATTTTCATACAAATCGATGTGTCGCACGACTTTTTTTTTAGTTGGCGATTCGAGCGCGAAAAACGCGCGACAAGCGCAAAAATGATGTGATATCTCGATTCGTATGAGAATTTTGCAAAAAATACGACTAGAGTGTTAAAAAACCCAGATTTTGAAGTTAGAAAAAAAATTCCAAAAAAATCTTCATTGTGGCATCACAGTGAGTATGCATATACTAATTACCTCACACACTTCAGAAACACCCTGTGTATCATTGAATTCAAATTGAGCACATAAAACAGTGGCATACGCAATTATGAAGAACACTCGCCGCCTACTCAGTACACTAGAAATGTTACCTACTTAATCACTTTTTGAAAATATTAAAAACAATAATATTTTCATTTTATTATTTATTGTATCCACTAAATATATTTCTAAGATGACTCGGGCGTCAAAAATCAGGTCATTTGCAGTATAGATGGAGGAATATTAAAAAGTACTTATATATTCAATATAACTCAACTGCCAGAACGTTGTGATATAATTATAGTACCTCAATTTGTTTTTGACCGTGATGATAGTATCAATAACCAAATATTAGACTCAGATAAAGGTAATTATAAACAACTTAAATACACAAACATGTAACTGCTTTCGTATGTTTGGTGTTTGCCATACGGAATATACAAAGTCACATTTATTATACATTTGAGGTGATTCGTTTTGTTTAAGGAACATTCAGAGGAAACAGGATAACGTTCTAAAATAAAGGAATGTAAATAAATATAGAATATTAAAATACAACTTGTGCACAATAAATGCTATAGTGAACACCTTGTATTATTTCGTGATAATTTAAGTCTTAATCATGACAAAGAAAAAATTAAGGATAGTTATTATAAAATCAAAAAGTCTAAAGAAAATGTTCAAACCACATGTTGTATCAAACGTCAATTTTTATAAATGTCAATAGTGTGTTAACTAATAAAGTTGATGACAAATAGACAAGCGTATTAGTTACCTCACAAAAAAAATACAATTTAAACGTATGTTATTATATTAAAAATATAATTATTAAAGGTATTATAACAAGCTTAGTAGAAGCTAAGAAAACTGTTTTTACACGCATTGGGTTCGTGTATGAAGATGATTGGCCTACAATAATTGATCCCCCGGGTGCAGGTGTATTTCAGAAAGTCTTTTTTGATCCTTTAATCAATTTTTTAAATGCATCAAAAGTGAATGGTATTCTTATTTATTGTGAATACATATATGATGTAAGTACAATTGGACATGGTCATTTTTTATTCAATCATAGTTTTGAAGTAGGAATATTAGAATGATTTGTTTTTTTGTAGGTACCCGCTTAGGTACTTTGAAAGAAATTAGATCTAGTCAGTAATTTTGGAGAAGGGGTAGACAAGTAAAAAACTCCCCATACTTTTCAATATTATCGGCAACAACATCAACAATAAAATTTGGGCCATTGGTTCCGTCTGCTGTACATATTTGTCGTGTGGGATTGCGTTGGTTATCGTAATGAATATATTTTATACATTTTCTTTAATTTTACAATAATAATTGTTATGAATGTAATATACTCGGAAAATATTTATTTCCAACTTACCTTTATCAGTATTAATAAAAAAGTGATACTGCTTTCGGAACGTGACGAGGTGTTGTGCAAACTTAGTTAAGTAAGATTGATTCTCGAGTTCAGTTTTTCCCATTATTTATAGTTCTCTAATAAATGACCATAAGGCACCTACATTTCAGAAATAGAGTCGGTACATCATAATTATACCATTTTAAAGCATTGTTAAACGGATAAAATCAATCCAACCTCAAAAAATACTAATTTTAAAAATCAATCTGTAAATTAAAATATTGTATTTATTTATTTAAGGTTCATATAGTAGATTTTGCAGTAAAATTAAGTAACTTGGTATCTGCAATTAAAGATAAAGCAGATAATTTAATAGTTGGTTTAATAATATCTGGTATATACTATGAAAATTTTCCGAATAATTTACGTAAGTAAAATACATTTATATATCTACAAGGACAATAAATTATTGTTTTCCCAGACACTTATGTAAATTATTTCCTTATATTTCAATTATTCTTTATATTTTCAATTAATCCACATAAATAAAATATATCATTATTGTAAACTTATATAATTTTTATATTAAGTCTTTATATTCTGATTGTGTTTCTAAAGTATTTGATTTTTCAAAAACAAATGAAGTGTTGGACCTCTATGTCATTAATTGGTCAACATTAAATATATGTGACAAAGATACAGTAAAATATGGTCTCAGTCCAATAACATCTAATTTTTCTGATATGATAACTATTGTACGCATCTATTCTTAAAAACAGAAACAGAAAATATACATTTAAAATGAAAAAATCATAATGACTTTTTTTCAGGAAAAAGTTAATAGTGGTGTAACTAATTCATCTATGGATAAATCAAAAATATATGCTATGATACAAGTGTATCCAATAATTCCAATCACCATTGTTCCGGAAGGTTCTAGGAGTGATTCAACGTATTCTATAGTATGATTGATGATATTATAATAGATATTTACTTAATGGTGGATAGTAAAGTTAATTTAATCGGAGCATAATATAATAAAACTACTTATGTGTCCAATGTCAGGAATAATGACAAATATTAAGGAGAAATGTAATTGATAAATACAAATTAAAATAATAACAATTTTACTTTCACTCTTTGATAAAAATTTATTTTTCCTTTTGAATGAAGAACAAATAGATAATAAGCCCTCTAGTGCCACTTCACGATGTTATCAAGACTTATAAATATTTGAATTCTTTAAAAATTTGACATTCAATGTACCTACTACAACAATTTATTTATTTATCTTTCAAAATTTGACATTTATGTATTTTAAAAATGTTATATCTCTTCATGACAATGATATATTAAAATAGTCATAACGTATGCAATATTATTAATTTTGACATATTCCAAAAGGCGATTGTAAACTCCGCCAGAATATCGGTCAAGATAAAAAGGTAATAATAGGTCTATGGTAAACTCCACCAGTTTTTTTTTTACCTGGTCAGTGCGACAGTGCTCACATTGCCAAGTGCCTTCTCACATTAAATACGTTTACATCTATTGTGATGATATATGTCAAATTGATAAAATATTGTCAAGGTTAGATCGATTCAAATTATTAATAATTTTATCTTCATATTATCTGAAATCAGGATTTCCAATGATGATATCGGCAGTAGGTAAGGTATACGTAAAGACATATACTTTGATAAACATAATCATTCGTAGTCTGCGTATCTCCGTGTACATTTCCGATATTTCCGATACTTCTGATATTTGTATACGTCCGAACGAAATATGTCGCAAGAAAGTAATAATATAAAATTAATTACTGGCCAACGAGGCAATTTATTGGTTGTATTTAAAAATTATAAGTATAATAAAAATATAAAATACGCGTCTGGTGAAATAAAATGGAGATGCAATAACAAAAATTGTAATGCATTTATAAAAACTGTTGGAGCTGAGCAGCATAATATTACTTTAACACATTTTTGCAAATGATACTCACATTACTTCATGCCTTCCAATTTCAATCCAAACACTAGAAAAACAAGAAAAAAGTAGTTGTGTAAAGTGGAAAGCGGTGGAAAATATTCGTGATAAACCGGGTAAATACTTTCCTCTTTACACAACTACTTATTTCTTGTCTTTCTAGTGTTTGGATTGAAACTATTATGATTTTTTATACCATGATTAAATATTGATATGATATGATATTATATTATATTATAATTTTTTTTTTATAATATATCATATTAATTTTATACTACTATTTGATTTTCTTCACTGGTAGAGTTACATGAACCCAATTTTACCTGTTTTTTTTTCTGACGGAGTTTACAATAAAAAAAGGTACTTGTGGCTGAGTTTACATGCGCCCATTCCAAAATTATAATATTTTCACCCGTAGGTTTCAGCCATGCCCGGGTGGACGGTGGCTGCCTCTCCCTCCAGGCACCATGACTGCCTGAAGAGCGATGCCGCCGTAACCGAGATTTGAATACGCGACAGAGTGCGTCGCAACCGACGCTTTGGTCGACTCGGCCACTTCACCTCCAGTGAAATATTATTTTAGAATAGTTAAGGCGTTTCATCAAAATTATTGTTGACTAAAAAATATCAATATTTACCACTCTGCTCGCGATTCCACTACCAAAAGGTCACATCTCCCTAGGGTGGCCAGCCTCTCATTTGGGAAACCGCTGCTATACAGCTATATTATACGTAAAAACAATTAACATTGTAATTTAAACGCTACGGGTTACAGTTTTTTCCTTGGTTTTTAAGATTTTAAACTTGTGGTTCTACTCTAAAAATATTATCTCGTTTTGATTACAGTATTGTAACAGTACCGATCCAGCTACTTCATCTCAATGGTGTACTAACCCTTCAAAACTTTCATATGATCAAGTAAATATATTTAAATATTATTGTGTTCTACGAGGTACCCGTTGAATAATCATTTGGCGGAACCATTTAGTAATTGTAAAGAAATACGGCTATACATACAGATAGAGAACATATGATAGGAGAAACAAAATTGAAAAAGTATAGTGATAAACATGATGCGATAGGATAAAATGGACATTTTTGAAAAAAAGATAACCTTATAAAAACAAGATATAAATTCGGGTCGAGGAAAATCGTGTATACTAATATTTACCAGTTTTGCTACTACCAAATAGGGGGAGGACATATCAGTTTGCCAGTGTCGGTCTAGACATCCCGTCCTGGGGTCAATCGTAGGGCCAACGACCCTACCTTGCAAAAAAAATTATCTTCTACTGAAACCAAACAACAATAATCCTCGGGCATATAGATGAAATGAAAAACAAACGGAAGCAGGAAGCAGGATTTACTTTTTGAAACATCGTATGTAAGGACAATGTTCCAACCCGGAGCAGCTTTAAGTGTAGTTAAGGAAGTTAAGAAACATAAAATCAGGATAGTAGCGTTACAGGAAGTCAGATGGAATGACGAAGGTACCATAAACAAAAATTATTTTACTATTCTGCATTTATTGTGCTATGAGATACGATAATTATTGGTAAGTTTCGCATTACACAAAAGCCTAGTGCATACGATAAAAGATTTCAAAGTAATTAGCCATAGAATTTCTATGCTTATAGTAAAAGCCAAGTTGTTGACAAAGTTCTTCTAAAAATACATGCTACAACAGAGAAGTCGTAGGAGAAAAAAAGAAGAGTTTTTTATAGAGTTAGAAAGTATCTTCTCGAGAATGAATAATACAAAATACGAATCATGCTGCTGATATGAAATCGAAGATATGGAAATAACAGTTCTTTAAACCTACAATAAGGTTACATAGCTTATACGAAATAACAAAGAATAATGGTATAAAGCTGATTGATCTAGAAACTGGCAAAGGTTTCAGGAGAATGAACTCAATGTTTCCCTACTAGTACTACTACTAAGGGTACAAAAAGATTACCAGATGGACAATATGTCAATCAAATTGACCATATCCTATTAAGTAAAGGATTTGCAAATAATACTAACGATGTAAGAGTATACAAACGGGCAGTCTGTGACTCGAACGACTACCTGGTTGTTGGGAAGCTCAGCATCAAATTGAAGGCGAGACAGCAGTCTGATACCTGGGTGTATCACATATAAAATAACAAAACTCAAGAATGAAGAGATATGTAGATTTTTTCAAATAAAAATGGAAAGACTAACACAGCTAATAGATATAAGTAAGACCTAAGCTATTGAAGCTCGGGGGGAAAATATAAAAAACATTATTGTGAAGACATCAGAGGATGTAATCGGAAAGCAAAAGAGATCTAAAAGGAAACCATGGTTTAATACAGAGTGCGAAGAAGCATTAAAAAGAAGAAACAAAGAGAGATTTAAATGGATAGTGGATACAATAAACGAAACGTCGAAACCAATGGAATAAGATACACTGCAAGAAGAAGAGAAGCCCACGACATCTGTAGAGGGGAAAAAATAAGCAAACAAAATGATATAAGGTACAGAATCAGATCACAGAGCAAACAGAAGTAGACAATTAAAAAAAAAAAAAAAATTGAATGAGGAAAGGATATAAAGGACATAAAAAAAATTGTAAGAAATAAGCATGGAGAGTTGATAATAACAAAGATAGGAATAACGAAAGACGGACAGAACATTTTGAACAGTTATTATGATTATTCCAGAAAACCTGGGAATTCAATCAATGACTTCATTCACTCTATGTAGATTTCAAAAGGCGTATGATAGTATGAATAGAGAAAGTATTTACAAAATTTTAGAACATTTCCACCTACCACAGAAACTGATAGGACTAATTAAGGCTATTTTAAAAAAATACTATGGTAAAAATTAAGGTTGGTAAGTGGTAACGTACTGTTGAGAGGGGTTAAGGTAAATACAGGCCTCTGCAAAGTGATACATGGTCACCAATTGTTTTCTTTCTGGCTCTAAAAAAATAAGTAGATTAATGAAAATATCACCAAAAGGAAGGGGTATAATGCTTCTCGAAAACAACATAGATACAATGAAAAGTCTATAAGTAAGACTTAATAATAGAAAACCGAATATATGGACTTCAGAAGACAACGAGATGGAAGACAAACAGACGAATCCTTAAAGGTAGGATCAAAAAAGTATCAGAAATCAAGTACCTCCAACAATGGTCATTAAATCAAACAATATAGAGTATGAGATACCAAAAAAAAATAGAAATGATCAACAAGTGTTACATTGCCTTGGGCAACTTATTTAAATCAAGGACACTCAAAGAAATCAAAAGTTCAGCTATTTATCATACTAATACGATTGTACGAAGCCCAATGTCTGACCAAAAGAAAAAGTAATGATTGAGTGATCAAGATTGAGAATTTTTGAAAGGAAAATACTAAGAAGGATATATGGACCATGTCGCGACCAGCGATCGGAGGAATGGTGTAAATGACATAATGTTGAGCTATGTGACCAGTACGACAGGCCGAATATACCTGATGAAATAAAAAGGAAAAGATTGCGACAGGTCATATGTGGAAGAAGTATGATGCCACGATAAAGACAGTTCTACAAGTGAATCCAAAAGGGAAAAGACCGTTGAGAAGACCCCCGATGTGATGGGAGGACTGTGGCAAGGACTCAAGAAGGATGCATCTGACTTCTTCCAGAGTGAAAATTCGCATACATTAGAGCAAAATTACGACGAATGGAAGCGTTTATGTTTGGATGTGTGATTTAAAAGATATTAAAGAAAAATGCATTTATTTAAATTATTCCAGTTTATACTTAATATTGTCAACGAACTTATTTCACGGACCACGGACGTACATACCTTATATAAATGTATAGCATTGAGGATTTTGGTTTGTTATGATTGTATGTTATAGTACGCCGATACCTATTTGTCTTTCCTGCTGATTCAACAAACGTTAATTTATAGTATTAACTACTGAAGTACTAAGTAGGATTTTGTTTTTCTATACTTTCTACCAGTATGATGGTTTATTGAAATGAAAATAATGATATTAATAAATAATAAATATTATATAGTTTGATAACAACAATTTATTAATGCGGTCTAGAGCTATGTAAGTGATTTATATTTAATTTTACCGTACCGAGTTACGAACTCATTCTAAATAGAATATAGACTGTGTTGTGCCGGGAGCTACCACTTATCTACTGCATTGATTAATAGTTTAACAGTATTGTCAAACATTTTAATATAAAAATATCATTTTCTTAGAATACGAATTAGGCTCAGCGTTTTATCTACCTCTCTACATTGCATGAGCATAGTGATTAATTATTGTTATACATTAAGTTGTATTATTCTTTTGTTGTTTTTTTTTAGGGAGCTTACGCAAAACAATACTATGTTGGAATTGTCCTTGAACAGCTTGATACAGATGATTACTTGGGCTGTTGCGAATGTGGGAAATTTCTGGTATCAAACCAAATTATTGATGGATGGACGGCAAGACCTTTTAAAACGTGTCCTAAACTAGATCATAATTAACAGATTTAAATTTAAATATACATTTATAACATTATAATGTTTTATTCTGTACTGTAATAAAAGGTATTCTGCAATACTCTTATTAATTTATCTTAATTGTACGTGTTGAAATCATAAAAAATCATATTATTTCGAACTCTTATAATATGTATTCTGAATCCATTGACTAATGCCGAATGAATTAAAAAAAGGTTCGTTAGGAAGTCTAATTTTAAATTTTTAAAACTTTAATTTTCATTAACCTAATTTGCAACTTAACTGATTTTGACGACTTACTGAATAAATAACGAGTTACTTTTAATCAAATCCAATTTCGTTTATTTATAAATAATTAAATAATAAATTTAATAAAATTATTATTGATGATATATATATATTGCATAAACATTTATTTTTTATTGTTTTAAACCATATAACTAGCTTATTACATAATAAAATAAATAAATAAATAAATAACTTAACTTAAGTTAGAAAGTTAATTATAAGTTTTCAAATAATTTTTAACTTAATTGAGTCTCAAAAACTTGACCAAGCTTGATTACGTGAATGTTTGTTGTTGATCTAACATAAATGTATATAGAATTGTAAAAAAAAAAATTTAGATTATTTACATGCATTTTAAACTCTTTTATAAATAAAGTAAGTACCTAAAAATAGGTAAATTTCTTAACTAAGTATTCAAAGATAGTAAAAAATTTCGAGGACTTAACAATTTTTGAATATGGATACTGGTCACTTACCATTTTGTGTTCGTAATACAAAACTTGTTCTGTTTTGGACATTTTGGGGTGGGTTTTTGCACCTTTACTCACCCTCCCAAGTTATAGTCTAATTAAACGCTATTTTAATATTTTAATATCATACAAAATATTTAATTTAATAGGAATTGGAGCCAATTGATTTTGAATTATAACAAAACAAAAAAGTTCTTCCATGTTAAACGAGGATAATATTTAACGTCGAAAAAAATCAACTACAAACGCTCATAACACTTTAATTTAATTCTTCTTAAATTTAGCCTAAATATTTAGAAAATGTCATTGAATGAGAACATTTATAATTAAGTAGCTCACTGTGTGCAAAATATATAAACTCCGAGACTTCACATATATATAATCATTTCATTAGGCAGTGAGATGTACAAGTTGTGGTGATCATATTATAATTTATTATTTATTAAAGCCTTACATATTATCATGTAATAGTTTCATAACTTAATGTACATCAGTGGCGGCCCGTCAGGGGAGGCAAGTGAGGCTCAGCCTCAATTAACTATTGTAAAGAAAAAGGAGGTATATGTACTATTACTATAATTATAGTAATTTCCAATCGACTTTATGAATATTATATTCAATAATATAATGTACATTTTAAAATACAAAAGCTTTTTGTTATTATACTACATCATTATGATAACAAAACTAATTTATTTTGTCGTTTAAAATATTAATTATCATAGTACAGAATACATCACTGTCATCAAAAATCACGACGAAGATGTTCGTGGAACGATAAAACGATCTCGATGAAAATCCAAGATTTTCGAGAGGCTAGTAATATTTAGCCTCAGACGAGTTGGACGGCCGTACGATTATAAAATGTATCATGGTAGAGGGGACAGTAAGAATTGTATTATTGAATGAGGTTGAACGATTCGGGCCTCAGAGTTTGTCAACATTATCCATTAGTCATCTGTCGAATCGACGTAACTTCCACTGATATAGGAACTGGGAGGTTTTCATAGTGACGTGTAGTAAAAGTGTATACCTACCTATGATCTAACCACAATACTTTTATCACAAAGCTAAAGATATCGGTTCTTCTCAAGTAAATAACAATTAAAATTAAACATAATAATTAATAACTTATTTCATACATAAATATATATTTAGTTGAATTTATTTTGACATTTAAGATAAATATTAAATATAACATGGTTCACTATTTATATGTTCTTAAAGATTAGAATTAAATATGAATTTTAAAATGTAACTTGACACTCATTTTTATATTTTAACAGTATTTTGTCTCTAATATATTTTGAAAATACGTATCTGCCGCGGCCGGGCAGATTCTGCCTCACCCCTCATACGGTTCACGAGCCGCCACGGACGTACCTTAAAAAAAAGTTGAAACATTTTGACAAAAGTTTAGATGATTCAATTATAATATAATAATTATGAGTTATGTATTATTTACTCACCTGTAATTTTTTACAGTTATGTTAATTTTTTTCTTCAATAAATGGACATCGCAGATGTTCTTTTATTTGTTTTAATTTGAAAATATATTTTTAGACAATTAATAAATCACAAATAATAAATAAAAGTAAAATCATTCATTTAAAATATTTATGACAACAAAATATTATTGCGCGGAAATAATTAGTTATCACTTTAAGTAGAAACAATATCTCAGACATTTCATATAAAATTAAAATGAAAGACGTACTAGTGTTTATTTGTAGTATATTTCTGTATCCTCAATTTACAGTACAAGGTAATTCAATGATTTGTATTAAAAATAAATTATATTTAATTTTATCAGTGTTTTTACCAGACCCTTTTATACATAATATGATATAAAACTTTACTATGCACGCAATGACATTTTCAAAATATTTAGAATGATTTAAAACTTATTCTTAAAACGAATGATGTATAATTGGTTCTGTATAAGAAATACAATTAATAATTAAATATACTCAATAACATTGACTGACATAATGCCTCGGCTGTAAATTTTTTTTTTAATGTAATCATATATCATTGATTTCAAATTGAACACATAATTTTAGTGACATACGCAATTATGAAAACACTCGACGCCTGCTTAATACTTACCTACAGCACACTAGAAATGTTACCTACTTACTCACTTTTTGAAAATACTTATAATAATAATATTTTCATTTTATTATTTATTGTATCCACTAAATATGTTTCTAAGATGGCTCGGGCACCGAAAAACAGGTCATTTGCAATATAGCTGGAGGAATATTTAAAAGTACGTATGTATTCAATATAACTCAACTGCCAGAACGTTGTGATATAATTACAGTAGCTCAATTTGCTTTTGACCGTGATGATAGTATCAATAACCAAATATTGGAATCAGATAAAGGTAATTATAAACAACTTAAATACACAAACATGTAACTGATTTCGTATGTTTGGTGTTTGCTATACGAAATATGCAAAGTCCCGTTTATCATACATTTGAGGCGATTCGTTTTTTTAAGGAACATTCAGAGGAAACAGGATAATGTTCTAAAATATAGGCGTGTAAATAAATATTAAATATTAAAGTACAACTTGTGCACAATAAATGCTATAATGAACACCTTGTATTATTTCGTGATAATTTAAGTCTTAATCATGACAAAGAAAAAATTAAGGATAGTTTTTATAAAATCAAAAAGTCTAAAGAAAATGTTCAAACCACATGTTGTATCAAACGTCAATTTTTATAAATTTCAATAGTGAGTTAACTAATAAAATTTATGACAAATAGACAAGCGTATTAGTTACCTCACAAAAAAAAATACAATTTCAACGTATGTTATTATATTAAAAATTATAATTATTGAAGGTATAATAACAAGTTTAGTACAAGCTAACAAAACTGTTTTCACACGCATTGGGTTCGTGTATGATGATGATTTTCCGACAATATTTGATCCTCCGGACACAGATATATTTCAGAAGAACATTTTTGGTCCTTTAATCAATTTTTTAAATACAGCAAAAGTGAATGGTATTCTTATTAATTGTGAATACATATATGATGTAAGTACAATTTGGCATGGTCATTTTTTATTCAATCATAGTTTTAAAGTAGGAATATTAGAATAATTAGTTTTTTTGTAGGTACCTCTCGTCGTCTTTCAAAATAATGAAAATGTTAGATTTTCTTCTTTCGCCTAGTTTCTTTGAAAGAAATTATATCCAGTTTTTTCGTAATTTTGGGGAAGTGGTCGATAAGTAAAAAAAAACTCCCCATACTTTTCAGTATTATCGGCAACAACATCAACAATAAAATTTGGGCCATTGGCTCCCTCTGCTGTGCATTATTTGTCGTGCGGGACTGTGTTGTTTATCGTAATGAATATATTGTATACATTTTTGTTTATTACAATAATAAAACTAAAATAGATATTATTCTTCGTTAAAACATGTTATTTTATCCAAATTTAAACTCAAATAACCTATAACACTGTGTTATATATTTTTTTGATACCTTGGTAACAGTAATATCGTATGACATACTTATGAGAAATATTAAATTCAATTTCCAGTCATTTCCAGTCAATTTAACAATTTAACACCTCATAATTTTTTCAACTATAAAATTATTTGCAAATTTTCTTGATTTTACAAATTTTTATCAAAATTTGAACACGAAATCCTTATAACAAAAAATTAGTCATATGCATACTTAATATATTAAATAACTATACGTTTTTGTTTTTTTTTTTATTAACTGTTTATGGCATCAACTGTGAGGTTATTAGCCGGCGTTACATGTTTACGTTTACATTAATTGCTTACATACTTTCTTAATTTCCACTAGTTACCTATATATTTACAAATTTATTTTAACTGAATTACAAATATTTAAATCGGTTGACTCAGTTCTGTTGAGTTGACGAAATTGAAGAGTGTTTTGGTCGTCTCAGGATTGGGTGCTAGCATCTCGTATAGTGTCTCAGAAAGTTTTAGCTCAATGCGCCTTTCAATGAACTTTCGACATTATGTAAGTGTATGTTTGACTGTGATGATTGTTCCGCACGTCGGGCATGATGGAGGGTCTTCTTTGGCCATGAGATATCCGTGAGTCATGCGAGTGTGGCTTATTCGTAAGCGGACAAGAATTACCTCGTCCCTTCTAGACATTTCAAATGGTTTGGGCCATGGTAGTATAGAGCAGAGGTTCCCAAACTTCTTATTGTGCGACCCATTTTGAATTTTTTTTTTAATATAGCGACCCACAATATGAATGAATGACCTTTTTTTTTTACCATACAACAGAAAATTAAACTATTTTATTACATTTTATGTAATTACGAAAAAAATGTATAATAAGTATAATATATAGTATTTGACACGGCCGCTGGTAAACTCGTAATTGTCATAATCACAGATAAGGATTGACGATAAAACTGAATTTGAACTTTGAACATCAACAAAAAGTAATAGATGATTATATTTTTGTATTATTTAAAAAAATAGTGCGACCCACCAAAAGTATAATTGCGACCCACTTTTGGGTCGCGACCCACAGTTTGGGAACCTCTGGTATAGAGTGTTTAATTACTCTTAGCTTATTGTTATCACATTTTGCGGAGAGGTTTTGCCATTCATCCATGTCCTTAAATTTGGTTGAGCTTAACATGTATCCGTCAGATATGAGAGGACATATTCAAAAGCGGAGGTACCTGTTGTTTCTTTTGCTTTTAGATCAGCTTCTTCGTTACCTCTTATGCCGACGTGTCCCGGAATCCATGCAAGTGATATAGTATTTTTATGCTCATATAGCTCATTGATTATACGGCAGATAACTGGTTGAGACGAATTTAAGTTGTACATGCTGATTAAATTGCTTAGAGAATCTGTCATTAATAGATATTTCTTATCGTTAGTATAATGAATGCTTTGAATCGCTGTGAGTATCGCTAGGGATTCTACGGTACAAATACTACATACCTCATTAGTTCTTAATAATTGGATGTTTATATCATTTGATATTATGGCTAGTCCAGATTTCTGATCGATTTTCGACGCTTCGCGAGTCGGTGTATATTTGTATGTATTCCGAGTACGATTGCAGAAGTTCATAATGAAAAAATTTATAAATATTCTTATCAGTTGTATTTTTGTTGTATAGTGATAAGCTTAGGTCTATTATACTTTTATTAAAGCGCCAAGGGGGTATGTTTAATACAGTGCCTTGGATTGTATTGTTAATCAAGGTTTCGTTTTTAGCAATGAAATCTTGTTGTCTTTCATAAATTGCTCTAAGCCTGGTACTTTTTTTTTAAAGATTTTGTTGTACACTGGATTCTCTTGGTGTTTGGCTATTTTTAGTATGTACTTGGTTTCGAGCTGTTTTCTCCTTAAATAAAGATATGGTTCTCCAGCCATACACAGTATGCTTGGGACTGGACTGCTTTTAAATGCACCTAAAGATAAGCGGATGGCGAAATTCTGTATTGTATTTAGCATTTGTAAAGTTCTATGATTAGCAGCGCCGTAGACTATTGAACCATAATCAATTTTAGAACTAATTAAGGATTTATATATTTTAATTAAGCTGTCTGCATCGGATCCCCATTCAGTGTGAGCTAATGTTTTTATAATTTTTATTGATTTGAGTGTACGTATTCTTAACTGTTTGATGTGTTGCAACCAGTTGAACTGTACGTTTATATTAACAACTTATGAGAAACCTTATTGTATTCAATTGTTTTTACTTTAAATTCTAAGGAAAACAATGACTGTATTGATTTTATAATTACCTATGTGCATTATGCATGTTTTTTTGTGTGTCTTTGACACAATAAGTAAAATGTTGAAATAAACATTTTTACTACAGAAGTTCAAAAATATTATACATTCATAGTCACTATTATTTTATAATCATTTAAAGTTCAAATTTTAACAAAATTCATCAAGATCGCTTAATGTTGCAAATTGTTTTGTGGTTAAAAATGTCCAATAAATTGTATAACTAAAAGTAAACAATTTCAACAAAGTTTCTCATTAATAGTTCGTACTATGTAACCATATATGTATGTAATCAAAAAAATTATGCAAACACAGTTTATGCAATAGATATTGAAAGCTCAAATATGGACGCAATAAAATATTTAAACAAGGAATACAATTTTTAAATATTTTGTTGTAAATTATAAATATTATAAATGAAAGTTATGCGTATATTTTAAACAAGCAATAACACCTTCAAATGCAATGTTTTCCGGTATATTACATATTGACTTAGCTAAGTACCTACATAATAAAGAGGTTTTTACAACATATACGACTCCTTGGTGCTTAAAAATACTTTTTATTAAATTATATTTTAAACGTTTTTACTTGTACAATGGTTCATTTGGATCATAATATTATTTTTAAAAAACTGTAAACTAAACTTAAATAATATTTCTTTTATATTTTTAAATATTTTTTTTTTAATATTTTTATTATGAATGTAACATACTCGGAAAATATGAATTTCCAACTTAACTTTAGCAGTATTAATAAAAAAGTGATACTGCTTTCGGAACGTGACGAGGTGTTGTGCAAACTTAGTTAAGTAAGATTGGTTCTCGAGTTCAGTTTTTCCCATTATTTATAGTTCTCTAATAAATGTCCATAAGGTACCAACATTTCAGAAATGGAGTCGGCACACCATAAAGATACCATTTTAAAGCATTGTTAAACGGATAAAATCAAAGCAACATATAAAAATACAAATTTTTAAAAATCAACCTATAGCATGAAATATTGTATATATTTTACATTAATTGTTTTTATTTATTTAAGGTTACCATAGTAGATTTTGAAGTGAAATTAAGTAAGTTTGTATCTGCAATTAAAGATAAAACAAATAATTTAATAGTCGGTTTAATCATATCTGGTTCATACTATTACAATTTTCCAAATAATTCACGTAAGTAAAATACATTTATAAATCTATAAGAAAAATAAATTCTTGTTTTCCACAACGCTTATGTAAATTATTTCTTTATATTTCAATTATTCCTTTATATTTTCAATTAATCCCCATAAGTAAAATATATTATTATTTTAAACTTATATCATTTTTAAATTAATTCTTTATACTCCGATTGTGTTTTTAAAGTTTTTGATTTTTCAATAACAAATGAAGTATTGGATCTTTATATCATTAATTGGTCAACATTAAATATATGTGACAAAGATACAGTAAAATATGGTCTCAGTCCAATAACATCTAATATTACGGATATGGTTACCATTGTAAGTACCTATTTTTAAAAACCGAAACAAATAATGTACATTTAAAAAGGAAAAAATCATAAGGGCTTTTTTTCAGGAACAAGTTAATAGTGGTGTAACTAATTCATCTATGGATAAATCAAAAATATATGCTATGATACAAGTGTATCCAGTAATTCCAACAAACCTTGTTCCCAAAGGTTCTAGGAGTATTTCAACGTATTCCATAGTATGATTAATGACAATATAATAGTTATTTATTTAATTTTAGATAGTACAATTTTTTTTTTATCAGAGCATAACATAATAAAACTACTTATTTTTCCCAATGTCAGGAATAATGACAAATATGAGGGAGAAATGTAATTGAAAAATACAAATTAAAAAAATAACAATTTTACTTTCACTCCTTGATAAAAATTTATTTTTACTCTTTGAATGAAGAACAAACAGATAGTAAGTCCTCTAGTGCCACTTCACGATCTTATCAAGACTTATTTATATTTGAATTCTTTAAAAATTTGACATTCAATGTACCTACTACCAACAATTTATTTATTTACCTTTCAAAATTTGACATTTATGTATTTTAAAAATGTTATATCTCTTCGTGATAATGATATATTAAAATAGTCATAACGTATGCAATGTTTTTAATTTTGACATCTTCCAAAATTATAATATTTGCACAATGACGCACAATTTAAGATCTGCACAAGTGTTTACATTATTTATGTTTTACTTGCACATGATCAACTGTCCATTTTTAATTCTCAATCATAGTCAATTCATAGAAATTAACAATTTGTATTATTGTCAGTTTGATAAACATAATATTATGACGTAATTTATTATTTTTTATGTACAGCAGCAGTTCGTAAACTTTTTTAGTTTACGCCACACTAAACATTAAACAAATAAATAGCACCTCCTATAAATCCTCGAATCAAGTATATATTATAGTATAATGTGACTTAAAGTAATACTGACATAGTGAAATTTTTTTTTTTTTTTTGTAATTGATGCAAAGCCCGGTAAGACTTAGGCCATTAGCTGTTTGTTGGGGAGTATTGAATTTTTATTGAATTTTTATGGAACAATTGTGTATTTGGCAGAATTTCTAGTAGGAACCCGTAGGGACTGGACGTGCCCGGGAGGGGGGGGGGAGGGCCTACTACACAGCTATATTGTACTTGAAAACAATTAATATGTAATCTGAACGCCACAGATTATAGTATATTCCTTGTTTTTAGATTTTAAACTTGTGGTTATACTCTAAAAATATAATATCGTTTTAATTACAGTATTGTAACAGTACCGATCCAGCTACTTCATCTCAATGGTGTAATAACCCTACAAAACTTTCATATGATCAAGTAAATATATTTAAATATTATTGCGCTCACGAAGTACCCATTGAATAGTCATTTGACGGGATCTTTTCGTAATTGTAAAGAAATCCAGGTATACATACAAATAGAAAACATATGATAGGAAAATCAAAATTGGAAAAGTATAGTGATAAACATGGTGTGATAGGATAAAATGGACATTTTTGAAAAAAAGAGAACCTTATAAAAACAAGCTATTATTTTGGGATCTAGGAAAATCGCGTATACTAAGATTTACCAGTTTTGCAGCTATCAAATGGTGGGGGGGGGGTATTGAATATTGATTACTATAGCCCAGTCTGCAGGGAACCCGACCTAAATAATAATACCGTATTTTATCAAAAAATATCAAAACCATAATAAAGACCTAGGTATGAAAAAAATTTCAAAATACGGTAAAACATGTTAATTATATTATAATATAATTAATAAAATCACAATGTATAAAAATATAACTTAAAACTCTGAGTATGTATATCATCTTTATCGTCTCCTCTTAATATTTATAAATCTGATGTACGCGTGTTTGTCACTGAACTCCTCCTGAACGGCTGGACCGATTTGAGTGAATATTTTTGTATACATATTTGGGTGACGCCCTGGATGGTTTAGATTCACAATTGGACCCGAAAGGTCCAACCAGGAGAGTTGCTCAAACCGGGATTTTAAGATTTATATTTGTTTATATACGGTTGCTATTGGTTATAGGAGAGATATTAATATATTTAGTAGAAATTGGTAATTTTTTTTTCGTTCATTGGTTGCCTGCAGTGGTTCATCGGTCTGATCAGATAAAAGCATGCATACAATTGAATTTTCGCATATTGCCCACCAAGGTGGGTGAGTTGCACTAATAGCTGCTCGTCGAAGTGTCCGCAATCAAAATAAAAATAAAACATATTATTTATATAAAGAACAAAAGGCACTGATCGCATTATTACCATCGAGTCTCATATAGAGTTGGCATTTTTCACGGGCAATAAAGTGCATGGGATCAGCTAGTACAGGATTCTCAAACTGTGGTAAGCGTACCCCTTGGGGTTACTCGAAATGTTTTAAGGGGTGTGAATCTGGCCAACAAACCTACAAGGAAAAAATTCTTTAAATATCTTTACATTTGTTTGTATATATTTTAGTTTAGTAATTAAGAACGGTGTATTCAACATGTAATGATAAAAAATTGGACAGTGTTTATAAAAGTTTGAGAACCCCTGAGCTAGTATATTTTGTACAGTATTAACTACTGGAGTACCAAGTAGGATTTTGTTTTTCTATACTTTCTAAGAGTATGATAGTTTATTGAAATGAAAATAATGATATTAATAAATAATAAATATTATCTAGTTTGATAACAACAATTTATTAATGCGGTATAGAGCTGTGTAAGTGATTTATATTTAATTTTACCGTACCGAGTTACGAACTCATTCTAAATAGAATATAGACTGTGTTGTGCCGGGAGCTACCACTTATCTACTGCATTAATTAATAGTTTAACAGTATTGTCAAACATTTTAATATAAAAATATCGTTTTTCTAGAATACGAATTAGAGTCAGGGTTTTCTCTACCTCTCTACATTGTATGGACATAGTGGTTGGTCATTGTTACATATTTCATTATATAAATCTTTTGTTGTTTCTTTTAGGGAGCTTATGCAGAAACATCCTATGTTGGAATTGTTCTAGAACAGCTTGATACAGATGATTACGGGGGCTGTTGCGAATGTGAGAAATTTCCAGTAACAAACCTAATTATTGATGGATGGACGGCAAGCCCTTTTAAAACGTGTCCTAAACTAGATCATAATTAACAGATTTTAATTAAAATATACATTTATAACATTTTAATGTTTTAATTTATATACATAGAAATAACAGGTATCCTTGTACATTCTTAATAAATTATCATGGATATACGTGTTTAATTCATTAAAATAAATAATATATCATCCAACTACAACCATTATGATGTGTAATTTTGTTCAAAAATTGTAATTGTTTTAATGGATAGGGTTATGTAGAAAAAGCGAGTAAGTAGATGTGGCTCTGCTGAACAGTAGGTTACAAGTGGGTCACTGTAACTGAAGGTGTTAAATTTAAATTCAATAGGTAATATAAAATCATTATTTAGGAAAACGATTCTGACAGAAGACTGTCTATCAGCCTAAAATATTAATCTATATTACGAAGTATATTTAATGATATTAAAAATTAAGTAATTTATTTTACAATTATTAGTAATAAAGTAGATACAATTAATTTTTGCTAGAAAATTTCATTTGAAATTTTCATTGCTTGATTTCAATATAATAATATACTTAAGTTTATTTAATATTTTTCAACTGCTGCTATAAAATCTTGTACTAAATTTTAAAGCATTTTCAAAATTTTTTTTGGATGTTAAAATAAGCTTAAATTCACTCTAAATATTTAGAAAATGTCATTCAGTATGACAATTTATAATTAAGTAACTTAAATTCCAAATTAAAAACTAAAATTATTGTAACATATCACCAAGTATATTGCGGATAAATATTGAAGCATTTTTACTTCTCCAAAACATTTGAAGGCAATGATAGACAAAAAAATAAGAAGAATTATAAGAAAACACGCAGATCATTCACTTAACAATAATGATATTCTTGACAGCTCTGAAAATACGTCTAATGTCGTATTAATTTTACATTTTAACAACAATTTTGATGATCATATTATAATTAGTTATTTATTAAAGTCTGACGTACCATATAATGTTTTCATAATTTAATGTACGTAATAAAAATATTAAAACAGTTTATCTAAAGTCTAGATGATCATATTAAACTATAATAAATATGATTATTTACTCATATGCAATTTAATACTGTTTTCTTAAAATGTTTTTCTTTAATAAATGTACAACACAGATGTTTTTTTTTTAATTTAAAACATTATTGTATAAACAATTAATAAATAACAAATAATGAATAATAAATAAAAGTAAATACTTAATTTCAAATAATTATTACAACAAAACATTATTGCTCGAAAATAATTACTTATCACTTTAAGTAGAAACAATATCTCAGATATTTCACGTAAAATTAAAATGAAAGGGTTAATAGTGTTTATCTTAAGTGTATTTCTTTATCCTCCAATTACAGCACAAGGTAATTCAATGATTTGTATTAAAAAAAAATTATTTTCAATTTCATTTGTGTTCTACTATATACTTTCGCACACAATATGATATAAAACTTTACAATGTAAGCAATGACAGTTTCAAAATATTTAGATTGATTTTAAGCTTATCTCTTCCACTCATGGTAACTAATTAATTTCCATAAAAGAAACACAGTTAAAAATTAAATATACTCAATAATATAGACTGACATGATGTTTCTGTTGTAAATTGTTTTTTAAGTGCAATTATATATCATTGGAATCAAATTGAACAACTAACCTACTGCACAAACCTACTTAATCACTTTTTGAACTAAGAATAATAATTTTTTCACTTTATTTTTTATTGTATAAACTAAATATGTTTCTAAGGTGACTCGGGCGTCAAAAATCAAGTAATTTGCAATATAGTTGGACAAAAGTTAGCAACTCTGGAATTCAATATAACTCATCTGCCAGAACGTTGTGATATATTTACAGTAGCTAAATTTGCTTTGGACGATCAAACGGGTGACGGAATATCTGAATCAGATAAAGGTCATTATAAAAAACTTAAATACACAAACATGACACTGATTTCGTGTGTTTGGCGTTTGCTTTATGGACATATACAAAGTCCCATTTATTATACATTTGAGGCGATCCGCTTTATTTAAGGAACATTAAGAGCAAACTGAGTAGCGTTCTCAAACATAAGCGTGTAAATATATTATATGAAATATTAAAGTAACTAGATAGGTAGTGCACAACCAATGCTATGATGAACACCTTGTGTTTATTTCGTGATGATTGAAGTCTTGATAATGACAAAGATAAATTAAGTACAGTTTAAAAAAAAACAAAGACTAAAGAAAATGTTCAAACCACATCCACATCATATCGTATCAGATGTCATTTTTTTAAATGTCAATGGTGAATTAACTAATGAAATTGATTACAAACAGACCAGTGTATTAGTTATCTCATTAAAAAAAAAAATACAATTTAATAGATTAAAAAACGAATGTTATTATATTGAAATTTTAATGATTAAAGGTACAATAACAAGTTTAGTAAAAGCTAACAAAACTGTTTACACAAGCATTGGGTTATTGTATAATGATAACGTAGATAGTTGGACTGCAATACTTGATCCAATGGATGCAAGTAATTTTCAAGATTCCTTTTTTGATCCTTTAATCAAATTTTTAAATGCATCAAAAGTGAATGGTATTCTTATTGATTGTCAAGACATATATGATGTAAGTACAATTTGGCATGGTCATTATTTATTCAATCATAGTTTTAAAGTAGAAATATTAGAATAATTAGTTTTTTTGTAGGTATCTCTCAACTTTCAATATAATGAAAATGTTAGATTTTCTTTTAGTCGGGTTTTTTAGAATTAAATTAGATATAGTTAATAATTTAAGGGAGGGGGTCGACGAGTAAAAAAACGCTATACTTTTGAATATTATTATCGACAACAACATAAACAAGTACCTCAAGTAATATTTTTAAATTACAATAAGTTACATAAAAAATCGTTTTTCTTCATTTGTAAATCTTATTTCCTTAAAGTTTAAACTCAAAAAAGGTATTAAAGTATAACTATTATAATATTCTATATTTTTTTGATTGTGTGGGTAACAGTATGAAATGATTGTGAGAAATGTTGGATTCAATTGTCAATCATTAACTACCTATAAATTGTAATGATTGAATATTTTAAACATTTTTAGGTACAAAATTATTTGCAAATGTCTTTGATATTACAAATTTTTGACAACATATGAACATGAAATCCTTATAACAAAAAATCAGTCATATGCATACTTATTATTAAATTATTATATCAACAACTTATGAGAAAACTTGTATTCAATTATTTTATATTAGATCCTGAGGAAAACGATGACTGTATTAATTTTAAAACGATGTGCATATGAATGTTTTTTTTGAATATATTGATTTCATTTTAAAGCATTCTTAAACGGATAAAATCAATGAAACCTAAAAAATACAAATTTAAAAAAATCAACCTATACATTAAAATGTTGTATTTATTTTAGATTACCATAATAGATTTTGCTGTAAAATTAAGTAACTTTGTGTCTGCAGTTAAAAATAAAACAGATAATTTAATAGTTGGTTTAATCATATCTGGTTCATACTATGAAAATTTTCCGAATAATTCACGTAAGGAAAATACATTTATATATTTACCAAGACAATAAATTATTGTATTCCACAATTATTCCTTTATATTTTCAATTAATCGCCATAAGAAGAATATATTATTATTGTAAACTTAAATAATTTTTAAATTAATTATTTATATTCTGATTGAATTCTTTAAGTTTTTGATTTTTCAATAACAAATGAAGTGTTGGATCTTTATGTCATTAATTGGTCAGCATTAAACATATGTGACAACGATACAGTAAAATATGGTCTCAGTCCAATAACATCTAATATTTCGGATATGGTAACTATTGTACGTACCTATTCTTAAAAACAGTAACATATTATGCCAATTTGAAACGAACAAAATGTTTAAGTAATTTTTATTTTTAGGAGCAAGTTACTAATGGTGTAACTAATTCATCTATGGATAATTCAAAAATATATGCTATGATACAAATGCTTCCAGAAATTCCAACAAACCCTCATGATGTTGCAATAACATATTTAGAAGTATGATTAATGATATTATAATAGATATTTATTTTATGGTGGATAGTTGATAAGGCGGGGCAGTACCGAAATCAAATTTTTTAAACCGCTATATATAGAAAAAATTAAGGTCTATAACTTTTATTCAAAACTTTTTTGTATTTTTTTTTTAATGTATTTAATTTGCCTTTTACTTTTTTTGGGAAAAATACGGGTTTACCCCAGGTTAGGGGTAAATCCGTATGTACTCTGGGGCAAAAACATATGAGGCCAATTGTTATACCAAAACACACTTCATTATATTTATTGGTAAATTATTAATTGGTATTGGACTTTTATTTAATTAACTTGTAAAGTTTAACAAAAATTAGGCAGTATAGGTAGTAAATTATGTATGATTTCATTTTCATTAATCAAAAATGTACCTAAACATTTTTTTCAATTCTTCAAAATGTCTACAAATTAATAACACAATACAATATGCGATATGACCTACTCCCATTGGCAGTAGTAAAACAAATACTAAAAATTGTTTAAATTCAAACATAGCAATTGCCAAAATATCAATGTGGTACAACCGTACAGTGTATAACCATACAATTTTGCCCCATACGATTTTGCCCAACAAGACTATTAAAAGTTATCGAGCTTCATATCAAACATTAAATTAATAAATGAATGTATTTATACTACAAATGTAAATAACACTTAATTAGCTATTGAATTATAAATATGGCATACCTGAACAATTTTGTTGTATATAAAAATTCACTCTTTGAAATTTTGATAATATTTTAGTAATTGAATGTAAAACTAAAAACATAAAATGTATTTATTTTTAAAACATGATATCAAAACACGTGCACTATCATATTCAATAAATAAGCAAACAAAACTTTTCAAATCGGTGTATTCAGTTTATCTCCATGATAACAATTATTGATAACATTCCGATAATACGATTTTGCCCCACGTACCGTAATACCACATCTTCCCTTAAGTTTATTTCCCACGTACGGTAATACCTCGTCTTCCCTAAAGTTTATTTAATCCAAGCATAATATAATAAAACTACTTATTTTTCCAATGTCAGGAAAAATGACAAATATTAAGGAGAAATGTAATTTAAAAATACATTTAAAATAATTACAATTTCACGTTCACTTTTTGATAAAAACTTATTTTTACTCTTTGAATGAAGAACAAATAGATAGGAAATAAGTTCTCTCGTGCCTCTCCACGAAGCTTATCGCACAATGACACACAATTTAAGATCTGAACAAGTGTTTACATTCTTTATGTTTAACTTGCACATGATCAACTGTCCATTTTTAATTCTCAATCATAGTCAATTCATAGAAATTAACAATTTGTATTATTGTCAGTTTGATAAACATAATATTATGACGTAATTTATTATTTTTTATGTACAGCAGCAGTTCGTAAACTTTTTTAGTTTACGCCACACTAAACATTAAACAAATAAATAGCACCTCCTATAAATCCTCGAATCAAGTATATATTATAGTATAATGTGACTTAAAGTAATACTGACATAGTGAAATTTTTTTTTTTTTTTTGTAATTGATGCAAAGCCCGGTAAGACTTAGGCCATTAGCTGTTTGTTGGGGAGTATTGAATTTTTATTGAATTTTTATGGAACAATTGTGTATTTGGCAGAATTTCTAGTAGGGACCCGTAGGGACTGGACGTGCCCGGGAGGGGGGGGGAGGGCCTACTACACAGCTATATTGTACTTGAAAACAATTAATATGTAATCTGAACGCCACAGATTATAGTATATTCCTTGTTTTTAGATTTTAAACTTGTGGTTATACTCTAAAAATATAATATCGTTTTAATTACAGTATTGTAACAGTACCGATCCAGCTACTTCATCTCAATGGTGTAATAACCCTACAAAACTTTCATATGATCAAGTAAATATATTTAAATATTATTGCGCTCACGAAGTACCCATTGAATAGTCATTTGACGGGATCTTTTCGTAATTGTAAAGAAATCCAGGTATACATACAAATAGAAAACATATGATAGGAAAATCAAAATTGGAAAAGTATAGTGATAAACATGGTGTGATAGGATAAAATGGACATTTTTGAAAAAAAGAGAACCTTATAAAAACAAGCTATTATTTTGGGATCTAGGAAAATCGCGTATACTAAGATTTACCAGTTTTGCAGCTATCAAATGGTGGGGGGGGGGTATTGAATATTGATTACTATAGCCCAGTCTGCAGGGAACCCGACCTAAATAATAATACCGTATTTTATCAAAAAATATCAAAACCATAATAAAGACCTAGGTATGAAAAAAATTTCAAAATACGGTAAAACATGTTAATTATATTATAATATAATTAATAAAATCACAATGTATAAAAATATAACTTAAAACTCTGAGTATGTATATCATCTTTATCGTCTCCTCTTAATATTTATAAATCTGATGTACGCGTGTTTGTCACTGAACTCCTCCTGAACGGCTGGACCGATTTGAGTGAATATTTTTGTATACATATTTGGGTGACGCCCTGGATGGTTTAGATTCACAATTGGACCCGAAAGGTCCAACCAGGAGAGTTGCTCAAACCGGGATTTAAAGATTTATATTTGTTTATATACGGTTGCTATTGGTTATAGGAGAGATATTAATATATTTAGTAGAAATTGGTAATTTTTTTTTCGTTCATTGGTTGCCTGCAGTGGTTCATCGGTCTGATCAGATAAAAGCATGCATACAATTGAATTTTCGCATATTGCCCACCAAGGTGGGTGAGTTGCACTAATAGCCGCTCGTCGAAGTGTCCGCAATCAAAATAAAAATAAAACATATTATTTATATAAAGAACAAAAGGCACTGATCGCATTATTACCATCGAGTCTCATATAGAGTTGGCATTTTTCACGGGCAATAAAGTGCATGGGATCAGCTAGTACAGGATTCTCAAACTGTGGTAAGCGTACCCCTTGGGGTTACTCGAAATGTTTTAAGGGGTGTGAATCTGGCCAACAAACCTACAAGGAAAAAATTCTTTAAATATCTTTACATTTGTTTGTATATATTTTAGTTTAGTAATTAAGAACGGTGTATTCAACATGTAATGATAAAAAATTGGACAGTGTTTATAAAAGTTTGAGAACCCCTGAGCTAGTATATTTTGTACAGTATTAACTACTGGAGTACCAAGTAGGATTTTGTTTTTCTATACTTTCTAACAGTATGATGGTTTAATGAAATGAAAATAATGATATTAATAAATAATAAATATTATCTAGTTTAATAGCAACAATTTATTAATGCAATATAGAGCTATGTAAATGATTTATATTTAATTTTACCGTACATAGACTGTGTTGTGCCGGGAGCTACCACTTATCTACCGCATTGATTAATAGTTTAATAGTCTTTTCAGACATTTTAATATCAAAAAATCGTTTTTCTAGAATACGAATGAGCATCAGCGTTTTATCTACCTCTCTACATTGCATGAGCATAGTGATTAATTATTGTTATACATTAAGTTGTATTATTCTTTTGTTGTTTTTTTTTAGGGAGCTTACGCAAAACAATACTATGTTGGAATTGTCCTTGAACAGCTTGATACAGATGATTACTTGGGCTGTTGCGAATGTGGGAAATTTCTGGTATCAAACCAAATTATTGATGGATGGACGGCAAGACCTTTTAAAACGTGTCCTAAACTAGATCATAATTAACAGATTTAAATTTAAATATACATTTATAACATTATAATGTTTTATTCTGTACTGTAATAAAAGGTATTCTGCAATACTCTTATTAATTTATCTTAATTGTACGTGTTGAAATCATAAAAAATCATATTATTTCGAACTCTTATAATATGTATTCTGAATCCATTGACTAATGCCGAATGAATTAAAAAAAGGTTCGTTAGGAAGTCTAATTTTAAATTTTTAAAACTTTAATTTTCATTAACCTAATTTGCAACTTAACTGATTTTGACGACTTACTGAATAAATAACGAGTTACTTTTAATCAAATCCAATTTCGTTTATTTATAAATAATTAAATAATAAATTTAATAAAATTATTATTGATGATATATATATATTGCATAAACATTTATTTTTTATTGTTTTAAACCATATAACTAGCTTATTACATAATAAAATAAATAAATAAATAAATAACTTAACTTAAGTTAGAAAGTTAATTATAAGTTTTCAAATAATTTTTAACTTAATTGAGTCTCAAAAACTTGACCAAGCTTGATTACGTGAATGTTTGTTGTTGATCTAACATAAATGTATATAGAATTGTAAAAAAAAAAATTTAGATTATTTACATGCATTTTAAACTCTTTTATAAATAAAGTAAGTACCTAAAAATAGGTAAATTTCTTAACTAAGTATTCAAAGATAGTAAAAAATTTCGAGGACTTAACAATTTTTGAATATGGATACTGGTCACTTACCATTTTGTGTTCGTAATACAAAACTTGTTCTGTTTTGGACATTTTGGGGTGGGTTTTTGCACCTTTACTCACCCTCCCAAGTTATAGTCTAATTAAACGCTATTTTAATATTTTAATATCATACAAAATATTTAATTTAATAGGAATTGGAGCCAATTGATTTTGAATTATAACAAAACAAAAAAGTTCTTCCATGTTAAACGAGGATAATATTTAACGTCGAAAAAAATCAACTACAAACGCTCATAACACTTTAATTTAATTCTTCTTAAATTTAGCCTAAATATTTAGAAAATGTCATTGAATGAGAACATTTATAATTAAGTAGCTCACTGTGTGCAAAATATATAAACTCCGAGACTTCACATATATATAATCATTTCATTAGGCAGTGAGATGTACAAGTTGTGGTGATCATATTATAATTTATTATTTATTAAAGCCTTACATATTATCATGTAATAGTTTCATAACTTAATGTACATCAGTGGCGGCCCGTCAGGGGAGGCAAGTGAGGCTCAGCCTCAATTAACTATTGTAAAGAAAAAGGAGGTATATGTACTATTACTATAATTATAGTAATTTCCAATCGACTTTATGAATATTATATTCAATAATATAATGTACATTTTAAAATACAAAAGCTTTTTGTTATTATACTACATCATTATGATAACAAAACTAATTTATTTTGTCGTTTAAAATATTAATTATCATAGTACAGAATACATCACTGTCATCAAAAATCACGACGAAGATGTTCGTGGAACGATAAAACGATCTCGATGAAAATCCAAGATTTTCGAGAGGCTAGTAATATTTAGCCTCAGACGAGTTGGACGGCCGTACGATTATAAAATGTATCATGGTAGAGGGGACAGTAAGAATTGTATTATTGAATGAGGTTGAACGATTCGGGCCTCAGAGTTTGTCAACATTATCCATTAGTCATCTGTCGAATCGACGTAACTTCCACTGATATAGGAACTGGGAGGTTTTCATAGTGACGTGTAGTAAAAGTGTATACCTACCTATGATCTAACCACAATACTTTTATCACAAAGCTAAAGATATCGGTTCTTCTCAAGTAAATAACAATTAAAATTAAACATAATAATTAATAACTTATTTCATACATAAATATATATTTAGTTGAATTTATTTTGACATTTAAGATAAATATTAAATATAACATGGTTCACTATTTATATGTTCTTAAAGATTAGAATTAAATATGAATTTTAAAATGTAACTTGACACTCATTTTTATATTTTAACAGTATTTTGTCTCTAATATATTTTGAAAATACGTATCTGCCGCGGCCGGGCAGATTCTGCCTCACCCCTCATACGGTTCACGAGCCGCCACGGACGTACCTTAAAAAAAAGTTGAAACATTTTGACAAAAGTTTAGATGATTCAATTATAATATAATAATTATGAGTTATGTATTATTTACTCACCTGTAATTTTTTACAGTTATGTTAATTTTTTTCTTCAATAAATGGACATCGCAGATGTTCTTTTATTTGTTTTAATTTGAAAATATATTTTTAGACAATTAATAAATCACAAATAATAAATAAAAGTAAAATCATTCATTTAAAATATTTATGACAACAAAATATTATTGCGCGGAAATAATTAGTTATCACTTTAAGTAGAAACAATATCTCAGACATTTCATATAAAATTAAAATTAAAGACGTACTAGTGTTTATTTGTAGTATTTTTCTGTATCCTCAATTTACAGTACAAGGTAATTCAATGATTTGTATTAAAAATAAATTATATTTAAATTTATCAGTGTTTTTACCAGACCCTTTTATACATAATATGATATAAAACTTTACTATGCACGCAATGACATTTTCAAAATATTTAGAATGATTTAAAACTTATTCTTAAAACGAATGATGTATAATTGGTTCTGTATAAGAAATACAATTAATATTCTTAAAACCATTACATTAACCTAACGTATATATCATTCACATATAATTAGTTTCTATAAAAGAAATACAATGAAAAATTAAATGTACTCAATAACATAGACCGACATAATGTCTCTGTTGTAAATTGTGTTTTAATTGCAATTATATATCATTGAATTCAAATTGAACAACTAACCTACTGCACAAACCTACTTACTCACTTTTTGAAAATACTAAGAATAATAATTTTTTCACTTTATTTTTTATTGTATAAACTTAATATGTTTCTAAGATGAATCATGCGTCAAAAATCAGGTAATTTGCAATATAGCTGGAGAAATCTGGAAAAGTACTTATATATTCAATATAACTCAACTGCCAGAACGTTGTGAAATAATTACAGTAGCTCAATTTGCTTTTGACCGTATTGAGGGTCACCAAATATTGGAATCAGATAAAGGTAATTATAAACAACTTATGTAACTGATTTCGTATGTTTTCGTTTGTTATATGGACAATGGACATATACAAAGTCCCATTTGTTTTACATTTGCAGCGATTCGCTTTATTTAAGGAACTTTAAGAGCAAACTGAATAGCGTTCTCAAACATAAGCGTGTAAATATATTATATGAAATATTAAAGTAACTAGATAGGTAGTGCACAACCAATGCTATGGTGAACACATTGTGTTTATTTCTTTATGATTTAAGTCTTGATGGTGACAAAGATAAATTAAGTATAGTTTAAAAAAAAACAAAGACTAAAGAAAATGTTCAAACCACATCCACACATCGTATCAGATGTCATTTTTTTAAATGTCAATGGTGAATTAACTAATAAAATTGATTACAAATAGACCAGTGTATTAGTTATCTCACTAAACAAAAAAAAAAATACAATTTAATAGATTAAGAACGAATGTTATTATATTGAAATTTTAATGATTAAAGGTACAATAACAAGTTTAGTAGAAGCTAACAAAACTGTTTACACACGCATTGGGTTCGTGTATGAAGATGATTGGCCTACAATATTTGATCCCCCGGACGCAGGTGTATTTCAGAAAGACTTTTTTGAACCTTTAATCAATTTTTTGAATGCATCAAAAGTGAATGGTATTCTTATTTATTGTGAATACATATATGATGTGAGTACAATTGGACATAGTCATTTTTTATTCAATCATAGTTTTAAAGTACGAATATTAAAATGATTTGATTTTTGTAGGTATCCCTCATCATCATTTAAAATAATGAAAATGTTAGATTTTCTTTTAGCCGGGTTTTTTAGAATTAAATTAGATATAGTTAGTAATTTAAGGGAGGGGGTCGACGTGTAAAAAAACGCTATACTTTTGAATATTATCGACAACAACATAAATAAGTACCTCAAGTAATATTTTTAAATTACAATAAGTTACATAAAAAATCGTTTTTCTTCATTTGTAAATCTTATTTCCTCAAAGTTAAAACTCAAAAAAGGTATAAAAGTATAACTATAATATTCTATAATTTTTTGATTGTTTGGGTAACAGTATGAAATGATTGTGAGAAATGTTGGATTCAATTGTCAATCATTAACTATAAATTTTAATGATTGAATATTTTAAACATTTTTAGGTACAAAATTATTTGCAAATGTCTTTGATATTACAAATTTTTGACAACATATGAACATGAAATCCTTATAACAAAAAATCAGTCATATGCATACTTATTATTAAATTATTATATCAACAACTTATGAGAAAACTTGTATTCAATTATTTTATATTAGATCCTGAGGAAAACGATGACTGTATTAATTTTAAAACGATGTGCATATGAATGTTTTTTTTGAATATATTGATTTCATTTTAAAGCATTCTTAAACGGATAAAATCAATGAAACCTAAAAAATACAAATTTAAAAAAATCAACCTATACATTAAAATGTTGTATTTATTTTAGATTACCATAATAGATTTTGCTGTAAAATTAAGTAACTTTGTGTCTGCAGTTAAAAATAAAACAGATAATTTAATAGTTGGTTTAATCATATCTGGTTCATACTATGAAAATTTTCCGAATAATTCACGTAAGGAAAATACATTTATATATTTACCAAGACAATAAATTATTGTATTCCACAATTATTCCTTTATATTTTCAATTAATCGCCATAAGAAGAATATATTATTATTGTAAACTTAAATAATTTTTAAATTAATTATTTATATTCTGATTGAATTCTTTAAGTTTTTGATTTTTCAATAACAAATGAAGTGTTGGATCTTTATGTCATTAATTGGTCAGCATTAAACTTATGTGACAACGATACAGTAAAATATGGTCTCAGTCCAATAACATCTAATATTTCGGATATGGTAACTATTGTACGTACCGATTC